CCTCATGTTCGGGGCATGCGATTGGTCCCGTGGCGCCAGCTCAGTGTGATTGAGTGTCACAAATGATGATTGGATGATGATATAATTGATTTGGAAATAGACTGTGGCCTTAGTTGCGTATTCTTTAAGATGATTCTACTTAACTGTTATCATTGATTATTGTGCTTACCCCTACTTGCTGAGTCCATTCCTAGTTTTAAAACTAGAGTCTCTTAAGTATATATCTTCCTGCTTCAAAATGATTTTCATATATCTATATATATCTATCTATAATGTATTTCAACGCGTTGGAGTGGGTTACCGGAATCATTCACTGAACAGATATATTTGGCTTTCAGGCACAGATGATTAGCTCTCAGAGCGCGCTAGAAGAACTTGGAGTAGATAGATAGTTTTTCTTTCGACCTGCGTGCCATGATGATGTATTGAGGATATTTAGCTAGTTTAGCCTGTGCATCTGAGTTCTCCAGCTCAGATGTGGCATAGCACCCCACACTCGTATATTTAGTATTACTCTGTTTTGGGATTTAATGAGAATTGACCTTTGTTATATAAGTTTTAAAAGTTTCAAAATTTCGGTGTGTTACAATACCAGTTCGTTTTGAGATGGATGGTGCAAAAGTTGTTTCAACGCCACTTGCAACATCAGAAGAGTTACTCCCTGCGTAATCCGGTACTGCTACGGTGGATGTAACTCAGTACCGGCGTCTTCTTGGCTTGTTGCAGTACCTGGTTGTAACACCCCCAATTTTCACAATTTTCAGATTTAGTTTGTTTAACCTTAGCATGTGCAATCACCGTGAAGGGTGATTGTGGTGGTGACACCTCTATTAAGTTGTTTAGTAAGTTTATTCCGCTGCCTTAGTTTATCTTTCAAGGTTAAGTCTGTTAATTAAGTTTAAGAAAAGTGGGGTGTTTCAATCACTATCAAGAAGCAAGGCGGCCGAGATGTCTGGTTGTTTCCTTGACCTTTTGTTCTACTTTTTCAGGTCATCGCTCGGCTAAACCTAAAAAAGTGAGGGACTAGTGATAGATACCCGCAAATCGGACACCCAGCCGGGATGACGAGGCCAGGCGGTCAGGCGAGGGCGCGGTGCGACACTTAGCAAATAGGCAACACCCGCAATTTCAGGAAGAACACTCGAAGATCATAGCCAGCCAACTCCCAACGACCGACCACCAAGGAGAGCGGCTGCCCGCCTAGGTGGAGGTCAGTCGGTTCGAGTAAAGTGACCAGCATTGGTAGCCGGTGTGACACCCCAGAAATTCATTCCCTAAAACCCGAATTAATTCCTTGTGGCTTTACAATTCTTATCCTAATTTCCCTTTGAAATTAGTTGAGGGACCTAGTTTGACCAAACCCCTTACTCTTTTAATTTGGTCAATGAGTTGTACCTTGTGCTTTAGCCCTTGTACTTTAGACTTTGTCTTTCTCTTAACAAGTTTTGGAAGGAAGGGACCCTTTTGGTCATTTCACACAATGCTAGCATTAAAACCCTACCCTAACCAAGGAATCCAAATCATTTTTCAGGATTTCCCTTCTCTCTACATCTCTTTCTTGCCCCCTACTCCTCCTTCTCTCTAGGAAATCCTATAGTTGATCTTCACAAGTTCTTCAAGAAATCCCAAGCCAAGATTCCAACTTTCCAACACTATAAGGCTAGCAATGGTAAGATCTATCCTTCCCTACCTTTTCCTTACAAGATTCTTCCATCTTTTATCAAAATCTTTCTTCTACCTTGTGGGTTTTGGGAGTTTGTAGAAGATCTAGTGGTGGGTGAAGTGCTAGGTTGATCTAGAGGAGCTTTGGTCTTGCTTTGAGGTTGAAGAAGGTGTTCTTGGTCTACAAGAGGTAACACATGCTATACAAAACCTATTTTCTATTGCTATGAATGATTTTTGACTTCTATTTGATGTTCTTGGTGTGATTTGTGAGATTTGATGCATGATCTTGTGATGATGCATGTTTAGAGCTTGTATTTAGGTTTCTTAAATGTCATTGCTTGGCTTATTATTGGGTTCAAGTCATATATTTGTTGTGTGTGAGATTTTAGGTGTTTTGGACTTGAACTAGGCTTTGTTGATGAATTTCCCCGAAGGGAAAAATTGTTGTACAGGTGGTACCCCGCAGGCGGAACGGCGGGCAGTGGCCTACCCGCCACCCCACCCGCGGGGAACGTGGTGGAAAAGGGTATGTACCCCGCGGGCAGGCCCACGGGTGGGGACCTACCCGTGGCCCCACCCGCGGGGAACAATTGATGTTGATGCAGGAATTTGTTCCCCGTGAATCCGTGATTCATTTCTTCTTGGTATTGATGTTTTGACCTCCCGTTGTTGGATTATTGAGTTATTTGTGAGTCTTCTTGATGTTTCGTATGTCTAGAACAATGTGTAAAAATCCATGTTAGGATTTGGTGTCTTGAATCGTGCTAAGGGTCCAACTTTGTGATTCGTTGGGCTAATATGAGTCTTGAAGGTTCGTTGGAACCCTTTTGGTTTATCCGTTTGATGAGCATGCTAGTTTGATGTCGTTTTGCTAGTATGTGTGTGTTTTGTTCCTTCTTGTTGGGGTTGGCAACTCGCGTTGTCAATCATTTTGATGATGGATTGTAGTTCTTCGTTGTTGAGTATTGCTTCATGTCTTCATTGAAGTCTCTTAATTGATTCTTATGATGTGAACTTGTACAAATCGTTGTACACTTTGTTGATACTCAATTGGGCTATTGATGAGCTTCAATCTTCTTGATGATGATGATGACTGTGTGTGATTACGATTGAGATTGGTGGTAATATCATTGAGGTTTGCTCACGAGATCGGTGGCAATATTGTGACTTTATAGTACCCTCGTGTACTATGAGATCGGTGGTAATACGGTTCTGATTGGTGGTAAAGGTTAGTGGGGGATGACGGTCCCAGGCGGAATAAGGTTGGACTCATAAGTACAGGGTGGCACTAGGAGGTAAAGGTTGGAACTAGTTATAAGGTTGGGGGTAGCCATAAGGTTGGAACTTGGTTCTATTATGTGAATTGTCATTATGTGATTGTTGTACTTCTTGCCGTTGAGCATGTCTATGATGAACTCTACCTTGTGTATGGTAGGTTGCATCAAGAGTTGTGTTATCCTTTGTTTTTTGTGGATTTGTTGTCTTGATTGAGGTTGATGATCCTCGGTCTTTGCTGAAAGTGTGATGACTCTTTGATGTTGATCTTCCTTTGGTTTTAAAATGACTATATACTGTATTTCTCAGTTCCAAATGGCTTTGACTATATCTATCTATACTATATTATTTAACGTGTATTGATGAGTTACCAGCATTATTCGTTGACCGGGTGTTATCCCCATGTTTTACAGGTTTTGAGTAGATGACGAGCGCGCTAGATGTGGACTCTAGATAGTGTAGCTCCCGTGCTTAGATGTTTTCCTTTTGTTGGCCTGTGTGCCTAGACTTATGTTATGTTTAATGATTTCGATAGATTTAGCCTGTGCACCCATGGTTTATGGGTGTGGCATAAGACCTTCCCGATTTTTAATAGCTTCCGCTTTGTGATTGTTTTGATGATTAGCTGTTTACCTTTGAATTTAAGCTTTTAAAATGTTGGTAAAATCGGTGGTGTTATAGCCGGTGTGTCCCTGACTGAATGCCATGCATGCAGAATTCGGATGGGCGACCAGGCTTTGCAGGTGGCATGTCCCTGACTGGGTACCACTCAAGAGATCAATCGGGCGACCAGGCTCCGCGGTCGGGGTGTCATTGCCCGAGTACGACGGACCCTCAAACCATCTCCTTGGCAACTGGGATATTCCCTGGCTGGGTGTTTCCTCTAGGGGTGTTTAATCGGTTAACTGAACTGAATTAACCGAAAAATTTTTTCTTTAACCGTTCACCGAACCCGAAGTTTGCTCTACCGAATTAACTGAACCAAAATTTTTGTCGGTTAATCGGTCAATTAACCGAAATTTTTAAAGCTAAAATTTTAAATTCTAAAAATAACACCTAAAATAATAAATCCAATTAAAATAAAATACATATCATAATAAATTCATAACAAAATATACAAAAACATGAATTATAAACTCCAAACATCCATAACTTCAAATCTTCAATCCAAAATTCAAAGTTTAAACATCCATTACAATTTATATATATATATATATATATATATATATATATATATATATATATATATATATATATATATATATACACATATAAATATATATTAAAAACTTGGGTTAACCATTCAGTTAATTCAACTAATCGATACTTTCGAACTGAATTAACCGTTAACTGAAGTTTTGAAATTTCTTTAACCATTAACCGAACTGAAAAAGTTCGGTTAATAAACGGCTAACCGACTTTGTCGGTTCAGTCGGTTAACCAAAAATTCTCTGAAGTTTGCACACCCCTAGCTCCCTTAGAGGCGGTTATAAACAGAATCCGCAGAAATTTACTTTCCTCATTTAATACAGGTAGCTTCCTCTATGAGTTTAGGCAGTTATGGCGTCATAGAGGCCAGTTTCCTTAGCTAATTCGGCCCTACGTCAGCCCTACTTTCCTTATAGATCTTGGCTCAACGCCATCCCTACTTTCCTTGTACGGGTTTGTATTCTTGTATAAATATCCCCCGGGATCATCATGTAAGAGGGTCGATCACTTTGGCTTCTTTTAGCACTTAAGCGGCCGAAGCCCTAGAGAAATAATATCACTTTATTCTCTCCATTGCTTTATTGTCTGTCCACATAAACTCTTGTTTATAGTATTTTACGATAGTGTTGGACCGCCGACCTGCACCCGAGAGCTGTAAAACTAACAAATACCATTAACAAAATATGGTAGTTAGTAATAATTAAACTCAATAAATATGTTATAAATCCAAAAGGAGCTATAATTATTATTAAAATATCAATCAAAGTGGTGGGATCATACATTAATGACCCAATATAGGTCCCAAATAGCTTGTTCAAAGTAAGTTCTAAAGTCCCATAGACACATAAAACGAAAATGTGTTCAAAATTAAAGGGAAATCAAAACAAGCTACCTTTAATAGGCCGTAATGACTAAAATTGGCCTAAAGATCCAAAATTGAATGATTTTTTGATAATGAAGTTATGAGTTAATAATACGCTAAATCCAATCTTAATGCATGCTTTCATGAATGTATAATTATAATAATAATTATTTAATATATATACATAGCATGCTTGAATTACACACATTAATATATTATTAACCCATTCTAAATAAATTGCAATACTTGGCAATTTAATGTGGACCTCAATATTAAAGTAAAATTCAAATAGCAAATTAAACTTAATATTTTTCCTAAATTGAGTTATAATTTAATAATAACTGAAAGAGGAATTAATTTGATCAATTGGCTAGAAGAGGTCCAAATATGATGATAGAGAACTAAAGCAAATAACTTAAGTAGGCCCAGGTTTTTTTTTAAGGACCAGGTCTGCCCAAAGTGGGCCTGACCCGGCCCAAGTTTAATTTCCATCATCATCTCCTTCCTTCTTCAAAAGACAGCAGCCCTAGTTGCCATAGCGAATGGCAGTTGCGACTGAAACTAGGAGGAGCAGTAGCTTGATGTCGTCAGCGTCGCCTGAAGGAGGGAATTGAGCATCAACTTCGCCGGGGAACCCAACTTCGCTCTGCCGCATCTCCTCTTCGCAACGCCAGAGACAGCCGTTGTTCGCCTATGCTCGCGAAGCCTCCGCCAGCCGACGACCTTCCTTACAGCGTCCGATGATCATTGCGTCGTTCGCTTGTCGCCATCGGCCCTTCGTCGTCACTAGAAAAACCGGTGCCATAGTGACAGCTCGTCCAAAGGGAGAACAGGGCAGAGATTTATTTATTTAGTTTTTCTTCCGCCGTCACTCCAGCCATCTCGGTGGTCGTCGGCATCAGCTACAGTCAGAGTAAAAAATTAACTGCAAACAGATAAACTATAGCAGTAGGTAAACAAACTTGGGAGAAACTGTAATCTTAATGTCAAAATTAAATTCCAACAGTCCCAACACAATTAATTCTCCAATAAAACATACACAAGTCATTCAATAAATCATAACCAAATAGAGATATCTTGTATGTGAATTTTGAAGAATTAATATACAAAACCATATACCAAAATCTGATGTATATGAAAATCCTAATGTTGATTTTAAGCAATACAATCAACTAGGTAGAGATCATAAAGGGAGGATCTGATACTAAATATTAGATCTAAATAGTCTAACTATACTGAATAATAGTATATGAGAGACCTGACCTCGTATAAGCGGAAGCAACAGTCATGTTGATATCCAGCCACAGTTGATGTTGTTGTTGTGTTGCCTCTTGAACGGTAAACCGTTAACCATAGTTTTCCTCATACCTGACTCAGAACCCTAAATGGTGTATTGGTGTCTTCTGAGCAGTATGAGTACCATAACTAAATGTGCTATATCATCAAAACATCATGTATCCCATCAATCCAAGATTATACTAGGCACACCGAGCTTGGTGGACTAACAACTTCTAGTTATTCAATCCAACCAGACCCCTTAATAAGCCTAGTCAACTTGCACCACTTAATTAAGGTCCTAATATATAATATATAATATATATTATTTGGGAAAATCTTACAGAGGGATGAAGTGGAGAGGAAGGAGATGAATGTGGTGATGAAAAAGGTAATCCAGGGAGAAAGCAGATTGGAGGAGATAGTGGATGCAAGGCAGCTTTTGGGTTTGTATGCGTTGGCTGGTGAGAAGATGCAGGAGCTAGAGAAAAGGAAGCAAGATCTGCTCCTGTAACACCCCGTGTTATGACCCCTAAGACAGATTAATCATTTAATCAATTGCCCAAGAGAAAGAATTAAATTACAATAATTAATTGGGAAAAAGACCCACCATAGTCCGTGGGCCCTCATCTCCAAACCCAACCCCTAGTCCTAGAAGGAATAGACCCTAAATAAGACCCCTAGATATATAAATAGGGAACCTAGAAGGCACCTAGAACCCCCACCACAATAATCTCTCACCACACCAAGAATTCCAAGAATTCCCCTAGGAGAAATCAAGAAAGAAGAAAGCTTAAAGAAAGACCCTTCATAGCCAAGGATTAATTAAGGCTAAGAGGTAACTCATGTCTCAACAAAACCTATTTTCATAGCTATGATTCCCCTCTTAGGATTTCCCCCATATTCTTGTGTGTTGATGATTCGTTATAATGATCTTGATAATTGGTGTTATGATTCCATGGGTAATCTTGATGATAAGAGGTTCTTGATGATTATATGGTGTTCTTGGTGTTCTTGATGATTATATGATGTTCTTGATGTTTATATAATATTCCTACCGAATCTTGATATTAGAAGATGAATTGTGTTCTTATTGATTTAAAAATAATTAGAACCCTAGGTTATATCGTGGAATTCGTATGGTATTATTCTTGGTAGATTGGGTGGGAAATTGTATGTTTGGGTGTTGATTATGTTTAGAAAAGCATGATAGGTTATGTGCCGTATGTTTCTTGATTTTGATCCGTTAATTGTCTGCGTGTGTTATCAATTGCGTTTGAAAGTGTCTAAGCATGGTTTCGGGTTCCACGGTGGTTCCCGGGGCGTTTATTTGTGAAGAAGAGTTAGTGGGGGGCAGGTGGGGGGGACCCGCCACTTACCCGCGGCTAAAAGTGGCATCGCCGGCAGCGGGCAAGCAGCTGCCCGCCGGGCACCCGCTGCCCGGAATAGTTGCCGCCGGCGAGCAGCCGGCGGGTGAACCCTCACCCACCGGCTACCCGCTGGTTTGCACCCCAATTCGGGATTTTGGCTTCCCCGTTTGATGTTCCCCCGACCCCCGTGGTGTCCCAACGGACTCCGTCTATCGTGCCTATGTCTAGTTTGATATTTCGGGTACCATTCGTAGGTCGTATAAGTCTTATATATTGCATGCTAGTTGAATTGGTATCCCGTTGACCTAGGTGAAAGATATATGAACCCCTTAGGATTATTCTTAGTATGTGAAGGATCACGCATAGGTTTTGTTATACGTTTCCCCCCCCCCCCCCTTCCCAATGTGTTAATGTGGGTTGCATGTGCTTGCTATGTGTTATATGTGCATGTTACCCCGATTTGGTTGCGATCAATCGGGTTATACGGGCAGTCGGATGGGTTGAGAACCATACCGACTGTTAACCAGGCCGGTAGCGATCGGTCAGGTATATAAATATCATATAGGGCTGCGGTCCACCGTTCTACATGAGCTGCGGTTCATTTTCCTGGCTGCGGTCAGATGACATACTCTTGGGCTGCGGTCCACTGTTTAGTTGCGATCAAACTATGATGAGCTGCGGTTCATCGGTCGGTTGCGATCGACCCCTCCGTATTGTGAGACGGGGCAGGGTGCTGCGGGGCCGTGTCAGAGCTATATGCGCTGACCCTCATGTATGGGCATGCGATTGGTCCTGTGGCGCCAACAAAGTGTGCTTATGTGATGAGATATGGATGAGTTGTGATTATGAGTATCTTGGGGATGTGACTACGGGATTTACGTTGGGGATTGTTTATGTTGGGTTATGATTATTGATTATGCTCAGCCTTATCTACCTTGCCTGTTGCGAACTATATATGCTTGCTATAACTGCCGTTTGTGCTTAGCTCTATGTGTCGAGTCTATCCCTGTTTTAAAAGCTAGAGTTCGTAGGATATATCTTCATGTTCAAAATGGTTTTCGTATATCTATATATATCTCTATATGTATTATATTTCAACGCGTTGGAGTGGGTTACCAGCATCTCTCGCTGAACAGATATATTTGGCTTTAGGCACGGACGAGTAGATCACTGGAGCGCGCTAGAGGTTGGGGCGTAGATTAGATAGTCCTTCCCTTTCGGCCTGCGTGCCATGATTTGTATTGATACTGATTGAGATTGTTAGAACTTAGCCTGTGCACCTGAGTTCTCTAGCTCAGGTGTGGCATAACACCCCGTGTCCTTATAAACGTATTTTGAGATTTATAATCATTTACCTTTATTATATTGTCTTTAAAAGTTTTAAAAATCCCGGGGTGTTACTGCTGCAGCTGCGCAATCACGGTGGTGCGGCTGGTGTCCCTCCGCCACCACCTGCGCCGGATTCTGCATCTTGGTTCATTCCGGCCATGGAGCTCCGCCAGCTTGCGACGGCAGCGGTGAGGGTACCCATCATGACATGATCTTCTCTGATGTTGATTTCAATCTAGTTTGGCCGCCTTACAACTTCTCATCATCTTTTTAAACTCGATCATTGTAATGATTTATCATTGCAATTTGCCTTTCATTCGATCTTGTGATGTTTAATTTCTTACAACTTGTTTGAATTGAAGTATGCTATTACATGTTACGTTTGTGGTGTTGTTGTTGTTTTTTTATTTATTTATATTAATGAATGAAGTATTTATAATTGGGAAAAAAATTATTATGATTTTAATTGGTTGATTATAGTATTTAATGGTATTAATTAGGTTAATACATGAAGTAAACGAACAATAATAATGTAACAAAAAATGGAGATTGGTTGAGTATGGTAGAGTTTAAACGTGACTCCTACAGTTAGGGCGTGTTCAGGACATCGTGTGGTCTGACCAAAAGAAATAAAATAACCTAGAATGTTATATATTAAGTAAACAAATTCAGTATAATTGAACAAATTATTGACTATCAACTTTTCTAATCTATATATATTTGGTTAGGGACTATATAGAATTTATTAAATTTGGTCCTTCCATAGTGTATTATATTCAAAATGTTAAAGACAAATAACGAGTGTTAAAAAAAAAAACAAAACAAAAACAAAAACAAAACAAACTTGTATGTGTACACTCCTTTAGTTCCCATGTTTTAAGGTCCTATTAATGAATATGACTATCAAATGTATAGTAATTTTGGTGTTATTTTGGGAGGAAGGTTAGAATTTGTAGAGACTAGTACAAAGAGACGCCTTATTGTTATTGCCAATGTATCCATACTGTTTATATATATATATATATA